TTCGATGCCGTTTTTTTTATATAAAAAAAAAAATCTCACATAATGAAAATAATCTTATAAAACTTTTTATATTTCATTAAATTATATTTATAAGAATTAACTAGAGTAATTCCTAATCTTGATTAAGATTAACGTGAACACGTATCATAACATTAATATAATATATCATAATTATATAATTTCATAAACATTTTATAATCATACGTGTCTAATGGGCCATTGTATAAATTATGTGTCTAATGGCAATTGTATAATTTAAGTATACATATACACATACATATAGGCTAAATTATGGGCCATTCACGATATTGACTAGGCTAAATTATTCAATTGTCTATTTATGATAGTCACCTTATGAAAATAGGCTGATATGATAGCTCTCATTCATGATTATATGTGTTTGCATTTACTTCCAATAGTGAGGTCACTTAATAAGTATTTCTTTAAATATTCAAGCCACGTGCTACTTCTATCCTAATTAAAGGCAAGATATCCCTATACGGCTGATGACAGTATTGCAATTCGAGACTCTGTCATATGCATAGGATAATTACATTTATTTTCTAGACTTAAGCTAGAATAGGATGTTTTTAATTTAAATGTTTATTTATTTCATTTAGAAGTTCATTGTGTCGTTTTAAAGATGTTTTTGAAAACGTGAGTCCATGACAATGTTTTAAGATAAAATTTATGTTTTATGAAGAAATTTAAACGTTTATTTCTACATATAAATGATATACGCTATGATGGCAGTAGCGACTCTAGATAAGTAAAAATTTAGGGTCATTACATCATCTCAAGTGATGTTGGTCTACAAAGTGTCGATCATTAGTTGACAACGACATGAGGTATCGTTTCTCATGGTAATCATACTGGGTCTTTACTATTAGGGGTAGCTAGTAACTCTTAATAGTGAACTTGTCTCAACCGATAAGGCTTTTCATATGTACTTATGACGAATATGAGTTGGTAGTGATAAGGTCGTGCCCTGAGATGATTATATGCCATGAGAAGTTTGCGTAGGCGGATGATTAAGAGATCTCGAACTATTTTTTAGACATGATTTAAACCTTCTCATTTTAATTATTTTATTAATAATAGGAAGATGTACCATATATAAAACATTCATAAGGGCATAGATCACAACTAAAGTTGTTTTTATTTAGTAACACTAACCCGTACTTTTATTTTAGTTATAATCATTCTCAAAATGGCCTTTGACCTACGACATTGCCCGGTGGATCATAGTTGCAAGTGATGAATGTACCACGATTGTTTGTGCACTTCACTTTAGCACATCCAATTTTCACCGAGCTTCTCCACACCACTTGAGTGTAATGGCCACATACCTTGCCAGTCGCACAAGTATTGGTGTGAGGATGGTAGAATTGCTTCTCATCAACCCACATTCAAACTGCAGCTATGCCTGATAAGTCGGAATTACCCTATGCAATATTTTCTCCATATGGTCTGCTCGAGTGCATCAACCGACCGTCGTTGATTCGTTGGTTGGCATATTGTCTAGCAAAACTGGCTACTTTTTCGTCCCACTTGACCGGCCCAACGCCAACTTGGGCACAGGCTACATTGTGGGCATTTACAAAATCTTGAGGAGAATTTCGAGCGAGAAAGAAAGAAAGTATCGTAAAGCTCGAGATATAGAAGAGGAAGAGGGAGAGATTAAAAAGATCCATTATTTGGTTTTGGACTTGTGATAAAATGGTTAGAAGTTTAGTGGAGAAAATGGGATGGCTATGAAGTTGTGGAATATTACACGAAGGAGATTACTTTATGATTGTGGACTATTGAAAAGCAGAGCATACACGCAACTAAAAATTATTAACTATAATGGGTATTAATTATTTGTACATCTAAGATACCATTTATAACCATTAAAATTTCTACCACTTGTAAATATCGTCTTTTTGGGCTTTCTCTTTTGGGGAGATTTTCTCTTTCGGGTTTCCCCTCGAAACTTTAAGGTTTCCACACCCTTGGGTGTTTTGTTCTCCTACCTAACCAATGTGGACATCACAATCCACCCCCATTCAGGGCCTAGTGTCCTTAACACACCGCCTCATGTCTACTCTCTTCGGAGAAAAGCAAGAAGGCTGATACATCGTTCGATGTCTGACTCTGATACCATTTGTCCGCTAGCAGATATTGTGAGTTTTTCTTTTTGGGCTTTCCCCCAAAGCTTTAAAATGCTTCTGCTATTGAAAGGTTTCCACACCCTTCGTATGAAAAGTGTTTTGTTCTCCTCCCAGCTAATACGCTATTATTATTATTTTTTTTATAAACTTTTAATCTTTTAATTTAAAACAAGTTTCTTTTCAACAATTTTTTTTTTTTATTTCATATTTTGAATTTAGTTTTTTCTTAGGGGTGTTTCAAAGGTAAACTTTTATTTTTTAGTTGGTTTAGAAATTTCAAAATGGTTTTTAAATAGGACCATAAATTAAATTTAAAAAATAATTACAAATTAAATCTTCAAACTATAATATTGATTAGTCTCTATTTCTAATTGTAACTATAATATTGATTCGTCTAGATTTCTAATTGTTCTTAAATTTGCACACTCGTGGCAAATGAATCACCATAATTCAAGTTATAAAACGAGATAAAATATCGGTATCCCATTTGTTGTAATAAAAAAATGATAAAATATCCTAAAAACAGACTTTATGTTTAAAGAGTGTTATAAAACTCTGTTGAAAGAACAAAATCTTTAGATATAAATTATCCAAGAATCCCAAAAGCAATTAAGAATCAACCTAAGAAATTTTTTTTGAACGGATTACATTGATAACCAAGATTAAGAGTAAAGAAAATTCGTGATTCAAATCATTACACAAGATAACCTGATCAAGACTACTGGAAGAACTCTCGTATACAAATCTAAACACAAGAAATGCAAAGGAACAACCGATTAGCTTAAGAAATATAATATGCTACTTTCATTTTAATATTCAAAATGTTTGTACTAAAACAATAACATAAATGCCTATTTATAGGCTTGATAATAAACTTATCGTCCAAAGGTTGTAATCTCATGCCCATTAATACGTGTACGATACAATCTTATTATCCATTATGAAATTTTTATAGCATGATTAAAACACTTTATTGCGTATCAAAGAGGGTCAGAAAATTTATAAATTTTGATGTGAAATGACTTAATTTTTAAATTGTCTAATAAATTTTTAATATATAGTCGAATATCGTACAAAAAAATAATTGTGCAAATGCAAAAATGATAAGCCTTCGATGACTTAGGGAGGCTTTCGTCTGCCCTCGTATCTGAACTTAAAAAAATATAAATTATATACCTTCAATTAAAATATCAAAGGTTCGAATCTTCTATCCATGTTGAACTAAAAAAAAATTAACTAAAATTAACTCATCAAATATTCAAATTTCACCTATAAAATTTAAATAAATAGGTTAGGATATTAATTATTCTCTCATCTTTCTAAGTTTACTTTGTTTGGCCTCAATTTCCAATAATTTTTTTAGAGAGGAATTTTAATTTTTATGTTTAAAAGTTTGAAGGGTAAGTTGTTTGTATACGTAGTAACTTTTAGTTCTTTTAAGCATTTTTTAATTATACTATTATCAAGATCTCTCTCATTCGAATATTGTTTCAGTTCATTCATATATATTTTTTTTATTCGGGTTTTACAAAATATATATATATATATATATATATATATATATATAGTCAATTTAAAATAAATAATCAAGAGGTCAGATATTCAAATCTACGTTGTTGTATATAGAAAAGTTTGAGTGCTATGATGTATGATGCCTTTGTATGAGTATTTGTCTATATTCACATCACGATAGTGTTCGTGTCACCGCACTAAATAGGGTAGAAATGTCTTCGATGTATACTTTTCAAAATTTTAATAATTTAAATTTATGAAATTCAACTCTATAAAGTACTAGGTAGAGTTATTATCATAAAACTTATTTTATAAACTAAGCACAAACACATTAAATTTAAAAGATATTTTTAAACTCTAGGTCAAAATTTTTAAATGAATACATTTTAACATTATTTAAAAAACACAACATTAATTCATTAACTAGAGAAATATTATAGTTTTGTAGGATACAAGGTAGAAAATTTTGTTAAATGTGTCTCCTTCCTAATCGAATCAAGCTCACAGTCATGCACGAGATGATCCATAGGTGGTGCTATTTGTTGCCTTTTGTTTTAGGGTTTCTGAGTGACGTACAAAAGCACACATTCGAAAAAGTAGATCTAAAGACTTAAGAATGAGAGTTGTATGTATGGATTAGTCACTTAGAACTCTTGAATGTTCTCCTTTATCGTCTTTTATTTGTAAGAAGAAAAAATGTGTTTAGTGAACAAAAAAATATCGAAATTTAAACGGGTTGTATGTTCCCTCTCAATTAAAGTTGATTTTTTTGACATGTGATTGTATGTTCACGTGATCTTCCCCTATTTTTAAGGTGAAATTAGGTAGAATGAATTATGATAAATGAATTAAAAGTACATGACCATCTAATTTGATTATTATGAACATGCCTTAAATAGATGATCGTGTTAGATACTATATGAGCTTAGATGACTTGTGAACATGATAGATTGCGATTGCTGGGTGAGTTTTCTATACCCTATCGTCTGATTCTCGACTGTGTCATATATATGGTATAGTGATTAGTTTCTTATACTTTGTGAGGACAGTTAGAGGTTTACCAACTAACTCTTAATCGTGTACTCATCTCAAGTGACGTGTGTTTACAAAGTGTCGATCATTGGTTGGCAATGATATGGGGTCTCTCTCCTATGGTTTATTTTACTATGTCGTTACTAATAGGGGTAGCTAGTAGCTCTTAATAGCGAACTTGTCTCGACTGATAAGGCTTTTCATATGTACTTGTGAAGATTATGAGTTGGTAGTGATAAAGTCTACTTGTCATGAGAAGTTTGTGTAGGGATGATTAAGAGATCTTAAACTATTTTTTAGGCATGATACAAACGTTCACATATTCATTATTTCATTAATAATAAGAAGATGTACCATACATAGAACATTCATAAGGGCGTGGATTACTAGACAGAATACAACTAAAGTTGTTTTTATTTAGTAAATTTCATTCACGACCAATATTTTTATTTTAGTTATAATCATTCTCAAAATGGCCTTTGACCTACGACATTGCCTGGTGGATCATAGTTGCAAGTGATGAATGTACCACGATTGTTTGTGCATCTCACTTTAGCACATCCAATTCTCACCGAGTTTCTCCACACCACTTGAGTGTAATGGCCACACACCTTGCCAGCTGCACAAGTATTAGTGCTAGGATTGTAGAATTGTTTCTCATCAACCCACATCCGAACAGCATTAGTCCCTGACAAGTCAGGGCTACCCCATGCAATATTCTCCCCATATGGTCCACCTGAGTGCACCAATCGACAATCATTGATGCGTTGGTTGGCATATTGTCGAGCAAAACTAGCTACCCTTTCGTCCCACCGAATTGGCCCGACACCAACTTGGGCACGAGCTGCATTGTGGGCATTGACAAAGTCTTGAGGCGAGTCTTGAGCGAGAGAGGAATGAAACATGGCAAAGCTCAAGACGACATAGAAGAGGGAGAGGGAGAGCTTGAAAAGATCCATTATTTGGAGATGGAGTTGTGATAGAATGGTTAGAAGTTTGGTGTGGAGAAAATGGGATGGCTATGGCAGTGATTTATAGGCATGAAGTTGTGGAATATTATACGAACAAGGAGATTATTTTAGGGTGGTGGATTATTCAAAAGCGGAGCATACACGCAACTAGAAATTATTAATTATAATAAATATTGATTATTTGTGCATCTAAGTTACTATATATAATAATTAATTAAACTAATACTTTTTGTTTGTTATTAATGTTTAAAATATATTTTTGATTCAAATTAAGTTTTTATTTAAGGGTTGAATTTTAAAAACTAACATATTTGTTTTTTTTTTATTTTTATTTATGGGTTTATTTTATTTTTGTTTAATTTTAAAAATAATTTTGAAGTATTTGAAAGGTATTTTTTTAAAAAATATATATTAAAATTGGGTTAAAAATTTTAATTAAATATTTGAAAATAAACAAATTAATATATTTTTTTTTTCAAAACAAAAAAAATTGAATAAACGGTCCCGAATAATCCAAATCAACTCTGTTTATAAAAATTTAGTAGCTGACCAATTAAGTTGAATCTAAAAAATGTCTCGACTTGACATGACTTAGGACCACTCGAGAAATGAAATAAATAAATAAATAAGAAAAATAGTGTACTAAAAGAAGGTGGAGGCTGTATTATACTCGTGTATCTCTCTTGACTTTTCTTTGATTGCAAGATCACAATGAGCCTAACTTTGAAAGATAAAACTTGTACATTTTTTCCATGGAAAAATATGAAAGCTAATAATTGACCATTTAAGAAAGAAGAAAAGAATAACAAAGACTATCTCAAAATTGAGTGGATTCAAATTATTTTTTAGAAGATTAGATCTTTGTATGAACAAGATGACACATAATAAAAGAAATTCGAGTGCTAGTATGAAGAACGTTATTTGTGATAGAACCTTTGCAAAAGTTCACAAAGATCGTTGTTTGAAATATCCCGATAGTCTTTATGTGACCGAGCTAAATAGAGTAGAACTAGAAGTGTAACGACCCATATCCATGACTAGTAGATATTGTCCTCTTTAGGGTTTTCCTTTTGGGGTTTCCCACCAAAGCTTTAAAACGCGTTTGCTAGAGAAAAGTTTCCACACCCTTATAGAAGGTGTTACGTTCTCAATATGGGATTCTCACAATCCACCCCCCTTCGGGGCCCAATGTTCGCGTTGACACTCGTTCCTTTCTCCAATCGATGTGGGACCCCCAATAAATCTTTCCTCCTCGGTTGCACACAGTTTGATGTTTGACTCTGATACCATTTGTAACGGCTCAGATTCACCGCTAGTAGATGTTGTCCTCTTTTGGTTTTCCCTCTCAGACTTCTCCTCCAAAGCTTTAAAACATGTATGCTGAGGAAATATTTCTACACCCTTATAGAGAGTGTTTCGTTCTCCTCCCCAACCAACGTGGGATTTTCACAAGGAGTGTGTTGTTATCATGTACAAGTCAAAATTGACACCAAATTAGACACAACTTTGAGCATAAATGTGTCATCAACGTAAACTTTTCAAAATTTTAATTCTAACGATTACCCATTTAAGCTTAAGAAATTGTTAATCGAATTCTCAAAGAACTAGGCAAAATTATATTATCGATAATATTATAGATTTTTTTATTCGGATAAAAAATTTAAAACCCTAAATTCTTCATTGTTTATACCTTAAACAATTGAATTACGCCAAGAGTCTGGAAAATTTGTTCGATCCACGTTCAGAAGCAAAGGCTTTTGGAATTAGATCATAATAATTTAATATGTAATGTAGGAGTTGTCAATATCAACCAAGTCACCAAGACATGTGAGTCAAAGTCTATACAATATTATTGTTCTCTACTAGAAGCTTCCCTTTGAGGCAATATAATTTTTCTAGTAGAATAATAATTACTTGTCCCAATGAAATTGGTTTTTGTTTTTGGTCTAGCTTAAGATTATTTTAGAACATTAAACAATATTGATTTAAGCCAAGTCTTGTTTAGAAATTTTTATTTTAAATTTTAATGGTGATAGATTGAAATAATACAAATGGAAATGTATTCTAAATTAAGTTTGAAAATAAGAACGGAGTAACGTTACACATATGGTATCAAGTAAGTCTTGTTTGGTCGAATTGGGTTATAATGGTGTTTAAACCCTTGTTCAAATAAGCTCAAAATGACACCTTTAGTATTTGACCAAAAATTCAAACGATTGGACCCAAAGCCACTGAACCCAAGACTCGAATGGTCGAGCCAAAAGGACATCAAAGTTCAAATCCATATACTCATGGATAACTCATAAACGATTGAAATATTGAAATCGTGATAGAAAAATTAAAGAGAATTTAGAGACAAATAAATTAGAAGAATTCTCTAAGTCCTTGAAGATCGAACATTCCATGAGGACTAAAAGACTACGAGGCTTATAATAATATTTCAACATTTGAAGACCCTAACTTGGAGAAAAACATTCTCACCTCTCGAATGAAGCATATGTCTATAAGGGTGTGGAAACATCTTCCTAGCAAATGTGTTTTAAAAACCTTGAGGGGAAATTCGAAAAAAAAAATCCAAAGAGTACAATATCTGCTAGTTGTGGGCTTGAAGCGTTAAAAATGGTATGAGAGCTAGAAATCGGGCGGTGTACCAGCAAGGATGCTAAAACTCGAGGGGGGGGGGGGGNGGGGGGGGGGGGGGGGGGGGAGGTGAACGGTAAGTGGTGTGCCAGCGATGATGTTGAGCACCAAAGGGGGGTGGACACTAGGCAGTGTGTCAGTGAGGATGCTGAGCCCTAGAAGGGGTGGACACTAGGCGGTGTCTAGCGAAGACGGTGGCCCTAAAGGGAGGTAGATTGTGAGATCCCACATAGATTGGAGAGGGGAACGAGTATCATCGAAAACGTTGGGTCCTGAAGGGGGTGGATTGTAAGATTCCACATCGGTTGGGAAGGAGAACGAAACATTCTTTGTAAGCATGTAACCTAAACTATATAGAATTGCAAATAAACTTAGCCTTTCATTAAAAGCCATAGCTCTAGATTATCATCTACCTAAAATTTGTAACCATCCATGAATAAATGAAGTTTGATTCTTCTTTAATATAACATTAATTGTATCATCTTATGATAATTTGAACAAACATTTCTCTCGGCATGATCATAATCAAACTCTTTTCCACTTAGGTATTTTAAACAAAGAATCCATGTTTTAAAACTTAATCCATATGGTTTCCTTCCTCATTCCCAAAAAGCACATGGGACTTCTCTTGGTAAACGCATAAATTCACCATAAATAATCCTTTCCATAGCATACCCGACGCCTACCGCAAAGACTCAAAGTCTAAAGGGGATGTCTTGATTGAAATTTCATCCATTTACCATTTAAAAAGCCCTTTGCTTGCAATGCCCACTTTCACTCACTTTACCACCTTCACAATTTTATTACCCTCACACTATAAATCTCCCTACCCTTACTTCCATTTCCTCATCCAAACCCGAACAACGATGACTATTCTTAAACTCATTCTTCTTATCTCGACCCTTTTAGTCAAATCATCAGATGCCCAGAATTCAGCTCAAGATTACATTAATAATCACAACTCAGCTAGATCATTTGTCGGTGTCGGAAATCTTGTATGGAACACAACTCTAGCTGCCTATGCTCAAACATATGCGAACTCGAGGAAAGGAGATTGCCAATTGGTGCATTCGAACGGGCCGTATGGCGAGAACCTTGCAAAGGGCAACAATGGGTTCACTGGCACAGCTGCGGTGAAGCTATGGGTTGATGAAAAGCCTTACTATAGTTACAACAGTAATGCATGTGCTGGAGGTGAGTGTCTTCATTACACGCAGGTTGTTTGGCAAAGCTCTTATCGTGTTGGGTGTGCGAGAGTTCAATGCAACAATGGCTGGTGGTTTGTGTCTTGCAATTATGATCCTCCAGGCAATTGGGATGGCGAGTGGCCTTATTAAGTATGCTAATGATAATAATCATAATAAAGTTCGTATATGCTTTTATTCTTGAAAATAAATGGTGCTTGAGATGATGATGTTCTCATCAGTTGGTGTTAATACACACATATTTTTAAGTTTATGTCGGCTGTTCTTAACCTGTTTTTATGCAAGTTCTTGTTGTTCTTTCTCCTTGCCTAGTTTCTCCAAAAATATTGAATATCGTAGTTAAATAAATACAAATTTGTGTCGGATCTCCAACCATGATTTTAGTTCTCAAAATTTCATTTATCGAGTAACGATAGCGAACTAGTTAGTCCCCGACAATTCCAACATTTTAATTTAATGTGACTCAACAAAAATAATAAAGGTGAAAAGTCAGAAATAACCCTAAACACACGAAAGTTTGAAATTTAGGGTTTTTAGTAAATCAATTGATATACGTATGTCAACGTGATTGATCTAATTCTTTTTTGATAGATCAAGAATATCATCGATATACTTATATCTTACCGACATACTTCATTTAGAATGTAACTTCGATTTCTTAATATTTTGTTACATAATCATGAAAGATTTTAAAAGATAACGTGAAAGACACAAACGAATTTGCAATTTATAGATGGGTCCAAAAAGTTTCCTTAACCCTACCCAATTTGAAATGTTATCTAACCCAACCCAAACCTTATAATAGTGATTGGGTCAGTTCGAGTCGTCGGATTCAATGTACACCTCTCACTTTTTTTATTCGGCTTTTGGTTAATTTTTATTTTTCTCCACTCTTCTCAATTTCTCATTCTTTTTTCTTTGTGGCATGACTTTCTTTTTCTATTTTGTTTTTAATTTTATTTTTGTTGTTTTTTTAGATATGATAAGTTTTGTTTGTAGTTGTGGTTTTTTTGTTTAGAAGCAATTATTCACTCCCCTTCAGGACCCAACATTCTCATTGTTACTCATTCCCCTTTCCAATCGATGTGGAATCTCACAATCCACCCTCTTCAAGGCGCCCAATGTACTCGTTAACTCTCATTCCTCTCTTCAATCGATGTGGTATCTTATAAACTACTCTCTTTGGAGC